TTCTTTTAGTCACATTTATCCTTTTGTACTCTTGCACTGAAGTGTACGTAAATCTCTCTCTTGCTTCAGCCCTTAGCAGCAATCTTTGGACCACAAAGGACAAAAGAGCTGCTTGACCATACAACATTTTTATCATTGCTTTGTCACATGTCTCCTAAGTAGGAATAATCATAACCATGCTTAAACTCAGGAACATTGAATATCATATGATTTTAACCCTCTGTCACAACATGCTGACATGTACAATAATCACAGGTCGATAAGCATACACAACTTTATGACCATATAGAAACACATTTCCTCATTATCGACAAAAGTCCAGGCGTCAAATGTGAGTTTGTGTAGTGAATGCGTCTGTTGTGTGGAGGTAAGTGAGGTGCTGACAGAGAAGAAAGAGGAGCAGTCTTCAAACAGATCCACAGGCAGGTCGTGCTCTCCATTATGCCCTGCCAGGGGCCATATTTGTTGATTTGCGGGACCCCGAATCATTAATTTAGGTGAAGTCAACAGCAAAGAAACCTGAGAGTGGTGTCCAACACACATCCGCCATCTCACACACACCAACAGTGTACATGCGCAGACATCCACTTGACGACACATATATGCAAGCAGAGTTATATGTGCACACACTTGACCTGCGTTGGATAACAAATGATGGCACTTTAATTGCTATGCCTGTTTATTTACCTCTGCATGTAATGGATGGTCCCGCTTTGCCGAGCAGCCAATCAGAGTGGGGCAAGCAGAGTGACACATTCCTTAAAAATGTTAAGCCCTCTTTATACAAAATACAATAGCCTAAAATGCCATGACTGTAATACCGTGCTTCAAATCTTTGGCCTTTATGCCTCCTCTTTTTTATTTGGCCATATCTGTAGACCTCAACAGAATAAGTTTATCTGGGTTACTTTTCAATGCCGTCTCACAGTGAATGATGATAGTGTCTTTGGTGATTGTTAGTTATTTTGAGGCCTGTTTGCTCAGCCAATGAGGCGCCCCCAGCAAAGGAGACATACATCATTGTATCACAGCCCTCAGGAAAGAAGTGACTTGTTACTGCTCTGCAGTCTACATAACAGACACATTCCATTTTTTTTCCCCTTTGTATTAATGATTACTTGATGTTTGGGCTGCTGCCAAATACATATAGAAGATTCTTAAGGAGCTCCGAAAGCAATTGAAGGGGAGAAATGGCCACGTTATCACTTAACTGAACTAGAATGTCTACAGTCTATTTGTGCAACCTCCTAATATGTAATTATGTGTTGTCATATTTTTGGAAGAGGTAAATTCAACAATCTTGGTGACTAAATGACACTTAAAAGTCATATGTGGCATTCAGATTTTAGTTATTATTTTACCTTTTGTTCTTTACCTCCTACTAACTTGTTTTCTCAATGTGTCTATTTACAGCTGCTCGTGAAACCAGGCACCATGAGATAATCGTCATCTACCAGCCAATATGTCCCATCATATAAGAAGATTTTCATCACATCAGCAGTTTATCTACAATATCAACATTCTGTGCTGAAGTTTAGTGTCTAAAATGCATGGAAATGTTCCACTTATTAAAAGTTACCTTCATGGACGAATGCAGTGGCCTACTGGGGACCTGGACCCATTGCGGGTAAATGTCCCTTACCAGAACATCAACCATCAGTTTGAAGGATAAAGGTACCCCTCCCTGCGTCATTTCCCTAGCTGTTTTCAATAAACTGGAAGCTGGGTTCACTTTACAGTACCGTGGTGCTATACGGCCCTGGCTTCACATCAACCAGCAGTCAGTGCGCTGCTGTCTACTGGGAGCATGGCAAAGCTGAGCCAGTGGAACAAACCATAAAGCCATGACAATTCTGGTCTGGTTAATGTTGGCATGAAAGTGTTTACTTCTGTAGCTTAATATTGGACTTTTGTAAATATGACAACATGGACCTCTAAAATCAACAATCCACACAGACCTTCTCAATGTACAGTGCCAAAGGAGTTGTCCTAATCTGTTGGGACAAGTTGGGCCTGCCACTGCATCATTTGTGATCCGAGACAGCTCAGTAAACCACTTCAGTTATTGTTTTGTCCATCTAGAATTTCCTGCATGGAGTTTTAAAAAAAAAAGGTAACTTTGGGCTTTAAGATATCCTACAAACGGTTGAAGGATCAGCTTCCACCTTCTCCAAAATCAGGACAACCTTAATTTGCAGAGATGGAAATGCAGCTAACCTCAAATGAGAAAAAACTCACCGTACAAGTGGAGTGTTTATGCATTTCTCTTTGTGTTCTTTTAGCCTGCTGTGCATTTGTTTAATAAACCAATATCATGTTCTGTTTGATTTTCTACAGCTGAAACTGTTTGAGTGCCACACTTATTCTGTCTTTTCTATTGTAGCAGCTGTGTGTGTCTTATAATACTGAGCAGTGAGGAGTGTTCTAATCAACTATTTACTGATCCTGTTAATCGGTGTGAATAATATAACTACAATGAAGTGGCTTGTATTAAAAAAAAAAAAGAATAAAAACATAATGCGTTTTTCACTCATCATGAAAGTGGAGCCGAGGTGACAATAATGTGCAGTTATGTTGTGTTTTAACTCAACAGCTTAACAGTGTGTCCGTTTGGCTGTTACTTAAAATGTACAGTTTTTGTAAAGTGCGTATGTGGTTTAATCTCACTCACTTGGTTGTGATGCTTGTGAAAGTTTTGGGGGTAGTCGTACTCACCCTTTGGCTTGTTCCACAGTGTTTTGCTGCGGTTGGTTTGCATCTGTTGTTTGAATAAAAGCTGTTTTCACAAGAGCTTCAACATGTGTTTTATCAGAGAGACAATGATGTGAACACTGACATTGGCAGTGCTATTTGTAAATTTGAGCACAGCAACGAGTATTTTCACAAGATTAAAGTTTCATCGCCGCTAATGGCAGCTACAACAATAGACTCTTGCACTGCCCAAGAAAGAATTCCCCCAAGTTTTCATGGTCTACCAATGCTCTCTCGCTCTCTCTCATAAACTCAGCCAGATGTTGCCCAGTTTTCTTCCTGAGGGAATGTAGGGGGATGGAGGAGGGAGGCAAAATGAGGCATGCTGGTGGTGGAGGAAGGGAGGGGGTCCTGAAATGTGGCTGAGCATGCTTTAAGTGTTCTTTGACTCAGTCACAGCCTCTCCAACATCCACCATGGTAACATTAAGTTGAACCAGAACTCCAGTCTTTGGCTTTTGTAGGTGCCTCTCACCAAATTCTGCCACAGGCGTTCACATACAGACAAAGAGCCTCAGTCCCGTTTAAGCCCTGAACACTTAGTGTAAAGACTGACATATTTTTGAATAAATGATGGTACTCACAAGAGCAAAGTGGACAGCTGATTATTTTCTATGGTTTCACTTTCCAGTAAACATGCGGTGACCCAAATTTTAAAGTGGGCCTTTGATTTACAATTACACCCCCCTCATCTTAATTTGAAATGGAAAAAAATGCTAAAAGAGTAAAAAAAAATGTTTACTTCGTTCTGGTGCTAAACATATAATTTTTATACATTTATTCTCTAGCAACATTCTAAAAAAAAAAAAGAGACCAATTGAAGGAGTTCAAAATAATGTAGGCGGCCTCATTGTGTTTTTAAATGTTTTCTCCTTAAAGTGAACTGCTCTCATTACATTCAGCTGCTGAATCAACATTAACTATGCCAATTTTTTGTCTTATGTTCCTGTTCCTCCAGTGTGTATTATACCCTCTTTACATGCAGCAACAATAAATCTTATTCTCAATACCCTTCCTATCTGGACTTTCATAGGTGATGTGTGTGGCATATATGTTTTAAAAAGATGTCTGTTTATGTTCCAAACATAACATCCGGTTGTGTTTTGGGATTTTACAGTGGTGAACCATATTGATTACAAGAATGCCATCCTGTCAAAATGGCCGAGAGCACCTTCCCTCAGCAGACATGCCAAACGGATGCCACACAATTAAAGCTACACCACGATTTGCTTGGTAATCTGCTCCTTATCTCGCTTGAGGTTAAGTCTTTATTTTGGCATAAAGCCAGATCTTAGGTGACTGCACGCCTCCAACAATTCTGCTATTGTTTTCAATCTTTTTAAAGATTGTTATTCAGTGTTTTTCCCCCTTTCTTTTCTCTGTGGTGAAACGCTGTCCCACTAAATTGGAGTTCACCTTTGAATGCCTTCAGTCTGACCAGACTGGGACGTTTTTTTGGGTGAAACTTAAATCGCCTTTGCCCTCTGATATCCAGCGTCTTGCTCACTGAAACTATTGAACTGTAAACCATCAGATTCCTGCTGCATGTTTTGAGATAGTCTACCATGAAATAATAATTAGCCCTACCGCAACGACCGTAACGCTCGCAGGCCTTCAGGTGATGAGAGCAGCTTGTGTAAGCACACGATATGGACCTGCTTGTCTTGACTACAGAGTGGTAACTTGATCTGCTGCCGGTGAAAATCCCGGCTCTGCTCTGGTATGGATAGGGAAATAGCCTCGGGTACTGTATAAGTTTATTTTAGGTAATAGAGACCCTTGTTTTGTTACAGCCCCGTTCTGCTCGTCTCTCTCTGTCTCCCTCTCTGCTCCATTCTCTCAACAGAATTTGACCGTCAACGAAATTCCTCAGTTGTTGAAAGTTGCTGGCTGGACGAAGAAAAGAGGTTTGAGCAGAAAACGCGTGGCGCATGCGCCGTGCGGCGGCTGTCCTGCGTTCTCGCATCCAGGCGGCGCGGCTTGTGCGTGTATGTGTGAGGAAGGAGGCGTCTGGAGCAGGTGAGGGAGAGAAAAAGGGAGAGAGGAGAGATAGTTTTCTGCACTTCGACGCAGACAGACTCGCGCATACAGCGTGAGAGCACGACGGAGTCCTTCTCTTCATGCCGGCACAGTGCGTTTTAATCCAAAAGACGCACAGTTTGGAGACGGCCGGCGCGCAAAAGGCTTTTTTTCTTCTCACATGTTGGAGCATACAGCCTGGGACCGAAACTTCTTGCCCCCCATTTTTTCATGAAGCCGGCCACTTGCCTTTTGCGCTCGAAGACATTTAACTCGTCGTGCTGTGGAATTGTCAAAATCGTGCTTGCTCGAAATGGAAGGTAAATTGACAAGCCGTTTATGGCAAGAATCACCGTGTGGATCTTCCTGCAGGTAGAAGGCGACATGACCTGAGCGTGTAAGCGGCTGGATTTCATGTTCATGGAAGGTTTTCCACGTTTTTGATTGGTTTATTTGACCCTTAATAAGAAACTTTAGCATTAATATTATTGGTATTATTACTTTTATTATTATTATTATTAGCTCTAGGCAGTAAGAAGTGAATTGACAAAGTAGGGTACACCCAAAGTTGCAGCCAGGAATGAAAAGTTACCGGGAATGACAGTTTCTTCACCCTGTCTTCAAACTTTGAACGCTGCTTCCCACTAGAGCCCTGACTTTCCTGCGAAAGCGCACGGAGCTCTTTCACAGATACATCTTCTTTTTTTTTATTGGGGCTGACCATACTCACTAAAACACTAAACCTGCGGAACTCTCAGCTATCAGCTTTACACTGTGATCACCTCCATCAAGCACTTTCCAAGAGATCTGGATAAGGAGACAAGATTTGCCTTCAGTGCAGGGGGAGAGGAAATCTTAAATCCACCTGGCCTGCACTGGGATTATTGGTTTGATATCGTCTGCAGAGAGTGGATTACAACTTCTAGCGCGCCGAGGACCCCGGTGAGTCCCTTTATAGGTCTCCTGCTTGACTCACTTTTCAATTCAACCACAGTTTATCTCTTAAGAATGGGAATGTTTGTATCGGTGGGACATTTTTTGGAGTAATGCTAGCTCTTGGATGTGGATTAAAGTTCTTGACAGATGTGATGTGTGCAACATGCATGACCCCCATCTCTAGCCACACTGGTCGTGATTCATGTCAGTGTCCTGCTGTGCAGAAGGTCTATCTTTAAAAAAATCACCACGAGCCCTCTTACTAAATAAACTGCTAGAAATGTGTGTGTGTGTATATATATATATTCTAGGCTATTGTATTGTGCACCTTTGCATGTCCTTTGTGCTGCTTCTTCATCAAATGCTTGTACCTGGCTCCCTCTCCTGGTTTTTGATAAACTTCAGAGGAGGCAGGAAGAAACTAATCATTCTGCACAGTTTCACGAGGCATATCTTAATCAAACAGGAGGAATAAAAAGAAAAAAATGTCCCTTTCTGTTATACCACCTCACACACCCCAAACCTATAGGCCTGATTCAGTGAGACAACTGGCCAGCATTGGGCAGACGCAGGACACTGTTAACCTTGTGGTCAGTCAGTTATGATTGTAAAAATTTTAATTTTGCCTTGATACTAAAAGAATAAATTTGTCTAAACTAAAAGAGGAGATCAGTGAGAACAAACCAAAATGTAACTTAAAGTTGTGAGTCTCCAAACTATCATTTTTTCCTTCTTTTCTTAAAATCCAAGCTTGCAATTTGGCCGCTAAAATGAAACCATTAATTACTTCACAGCCCAGCCTGTGGTAATCAGTTCGACTACCATATCCTGGCTGTTTTCTCTTTAATATTTTGGTTAGTTTGATGCCACTTTCGCTGACATAAATATGTAGAGCAGTCATCAGTCATTCGGCCAGGTGCTGTGAGTGTTTTGCTCGGGTCAAATCGTTTCTAAGGGTCACTGAACACAGGGACTGCTCAGCTTGGCAGCGTTGCTAAAAGCTGAACATTTAAAACGATAATAACTAGATCTAAATGTGTACACCAGGCCGTGGTGAGTTGCTGGTGATAGCAAATTTAAAATTAATTTAAAATGTTGCCGCGTTTTTTTTTTTTCCTTCTGCGCTCAACGTTGGAGGTTTTCAGAATAAAGACACATCCGTCCATAAATGTAGATTAGAAATAGGATGATAACTCGTCTGTCGTCCCGGATTTTCGCTTAACCTCGATGAAGTGTCCAAATTGGCATAGAAGAGATTAATAATGCAAATATGACTGCATTAAAGTTATCCGTAACCTGAAATATATTTTCGAACCCGCATAATTTCTGGCACGATAACTCCAATTACTCGTTTAAAATGGGTGTAAAACCACCGCCCTCTGCGAATTATTGTTTTCAATTTATGTAGAAGATCAGGGAGGAACATAACATGCCTTCACCAATTATTGCTGAGGCTGCACGCACAGGCTTTTGTGCGTGTTGCGTGTTTGTGCGCGCTGGTTGAACTTGGCTTTGTCTTTAATGAGTTTTAGGAAAGCCCCCGGTCCCTCCGACTCACCCCCGGAAAATAAAGGAGCGTAACAAATTAAAGCTGCTTTCAGCCCCAAAATTCACACAGCCTAACTTAGAGGCTTGCTCATTTATTTAAAATCTCAGAATTTAGGGATAATTAGTTGAACTCGCTTTCTGCGTAAGTGGCAACCAAGTTTTATCGCTAAACCCATAAGGGTTTTTTTTTCTTTCTTAGATTACTTTGTACATGGATGATTGACTCCCCACTCTCTCTCCTTCAATTCCGTTAAGTGTTTCAGGCAAAGGCGCAGAAACATCAGTCAGTCTCTGTAAATATATTTACAGAGACTATTGATAACGGCACACTTAACCAAAAAGGGACCGATGCAAATATTGAATATTTATTTTTCAAAATCTCCCTTATTGTATAAAATGTCCAGAATTAATTGGATTAATAATGAACGTTTAGAAAAAAAAAGATTTTTCAAGATGTGTTCATGCCTAATATTTCACAAAACAAAAAAAAATGGCAACCTCTTAAGGTATGTAATCAGTTCTGCTATAGAAATCAAATGAACTGTTGTCAATACAAACTAACATATACAACATAAAAGGTAATTGTTCATATAGATTTTCCATTTAAAAAAAACAAAGCACAAAAATGAATTCATTCTCCCAACAACTCTCCGTCAATCAGTCTTCTGCTACTGTGTATCAGTTTCTTTGAGAAAAGTGAGATGTCAAGAATGTGTTCAGCTGGAGTTTCATGGTCATTGTATCTCCTCCGTCTATCAGTCTTGTATGATTCACACTCAGACCTGTTGCCAAATGATTGCTCTGCTATGCAAGCTCTGATGGCCTCGGGGCTCTCATCACACACACACACACACACAGCTTTAACTGCGTGGATGTGTGGATATGCGAGGATAGAGCTGAAAAAGATGTTTCCTGTGCACACTGTGATTAAAAGATATGTCTCTTTCTATCATTTGTGATGTACAATGAATTGGGTGTGACAACGGACTGATGTGCATCCTGTTCTGTGTTCTCCCGCAGATCTGTGGCAGCATGAACCTGAGGCTAAGCTGTGTGTGTCGGCCAGTCTGCTGGCCCTTTGGCAGCTTGTTGGACTCCCGACACTGTGTCTTTGCCCTGACAGTCCTCACACTCCTCATGCAGGTGGTCGTTGAAGCCAATTCGTGGTGGTATGCGTTCAAATTCTCTACTTAAAGTATTTATGAATGTGTCTTCATTTTCTCTTCAGCTGCCATTAATAATTTATTTAGCCTAAGAGGAGATTTATTTTTTGTGCTGGGAACAAGACAGCAGTGCTGAAAAATACGTGAACTCCTCTAATTTGGTGCTAATACTGAATACAAAAAAAAACATGCTTGCACTTAGTTTGGAGAATAGTTTGTTGGTGGGTGTTCTTGAAAAATCTTCCTACAGTTGCACAACATATAAAGTGATACAACATGTTGACTGCAGTACATTAACTTCTCAGAATGTCTTCTTCTTTTCTTTTTTTTTTTTTACTCTTTACATATTGCCAAGCTAAATTTATGAATGTTATAGAAAATATGACATTTTGTGGTTTAGTGTTGTGTCCAAAAATGCACACACACATACACATGTTCTACAGCTATCAGAAGAATAATTGTATTTGTAGCAAGTTCTTACGTCTTGAGGGTTGGGCTCAAATGCATGAAAATAATTAAACAAATTTATTCGAAGGGGATGGTAAATTGGTTCAACTCGGTGGGACACTACATTAAAATTGAAGTGTTGGGTTGCGTTACAGAACCAAAATGTGTACGTCTTTCCCGTACTCCGAGGTCTATCACACAGGCGTGAATTGTTGAGTTTTGGATGTTGTCTGCTCGAGACCGCATTAGTCTCCATGTGTGTTTTAGAGCAGACATCATATGAGTGGATTTGTTTTCACCTGCTGTGCACCCACATCTGTATCTGTACCTGTGTATTCTTTTAATGCTCCCCTTTCTGCTGAGTTTCCTCTGTCGATCAGGTTACACTGGGGGCTAATTGTGTCTCTCTGGGGGCTCAGAGATGGGCCGCTCTAATTGTCCTGTAGCCTGGAACCAGATGCTCAAGCTTGCGTTCCTCTTACATTCTCTTTTTTCCATTTAACTTTGTGCCTGTCCCTCTCTTTTCTACTCCAATATGTCTCTTTCGTTTTTTTTTTTTAGAGAACCGTTTCTTGTGATGAAACAATTAGACTTTTTCCTACAAGGCACACTTTAAAGGTGTTCAGCTCTTACATTTATCCACTCTGTCTTCTCACTTAGAATGTTTTCCGATTAATCGTAAAATGCATTTCAGATAATGTGTCAAACATCTTTATTCCCCTATTAGATTAGATTCATCAACTTCTATTAGATTCATCAACTTCATGCCACAACAAAAGCGTTTCTAATGCCTCCAAATCTTGGGACATTACCCAAGCTCGATGTTTAGTTAAACAATAAACTAATCAATTTCCAAATAACATTTTATCCCCACATATCATCATCATTAGAAATAATTCAAATAAGTATTTCTCATAGCAATGCAATATACACCCAGTAGGAAAAGCGTGCACAAGTGGGTTAAACATATTTCTCAAGTTTCGACTGTGCTGCCTGTCACGGATTCTTGTTTTATTTAATTTGTACTTTACATTTTACTGCTCTCTTTTCCAGTTGTGTGTATCTTAATTCACAGCGTGTTCTTTGATTCACCTGATTTAATAGCCAGGTGTTATTAAACTATAAGGATTGGCATGGTCTAGAGCATGCACTTTAGTGCATAAACATTAACTTGAAACCAATAAAGTCAAATGACTTGCTGATGTACATCTTGGCCCTTAAAACGTGGTGAGTGAAAACATTGTCTTGTGTCCCTCTAGGTCTCTGGCCATGAACCCGTTTGTTATTCCAGAGGCATACATTATCGGCGCCCAGCCTCTGTGCAGCCAGCTGGTGGGCCTGTCTCAGGGCCAGAAGAAGCTGTGCCAGCTTTACCAGGACCACATGCAGTACATTGGCGAGGGCGCCAAGACGGGCATCAGAGAGTGCCAGTACCAGTTCAGACACCGGCGCTGGAACTGCAGCACGGTGGACAACTCCTCCGTCTTCGGACGCGTCATGCAAATAGGTAATTTGGCAAAAAATGAGTATAGATTTTATGAGTCACAAAGGACAAGTAAAGTTGGTTCATGTTGAAACAACTGCAGGTATGTATGCAGTAGCTCTTCCATTTCTCACACCCTTTCACCTCAGTTTATTCTAATCTTTGTATTTTATATTTTTAGTCGTTCACTTGACCTCCTTTTGTGTTTCTGTGTGTAAAATGTATTGTACTGCCGATTCTCAGCAGCTGTGTGAAGGGAATACTTGGTGGGTGAGGTTGCTGGATAAATCACATGTGGCTTTGGCCTCCTAAGCCAGCCCCTGACACGAAGCAGGAGGGAGGCAGGGAGTCTGCTCTTCCCCTGATGAATGGGAGACAATGTAATACACACAAACAGGCACACACATTCTCGACTGTAGCTGTCTGCTTGTATTTACACATAATGGGAGTGTAGCTTGAGTATGCGTCAATATATCACTTTGTCAGGGGTTACTGTGTGTGTTTGCCTGTTTTTGTAGATTTCTTTAAGAAAACTAAAGCTTTACCATCCTCTTTTGGTTCCTGTCATTTAATCATCTCACATTTGATAATCTCTCTTGTTTCCAATTAATTTAGCCTCAAATCAGCAGCTACAAATCTGTGTTTTTTTTTCCTTATTACATTTTATTTTCTAAAGTGTGGTATATGTATATGACACCCATGTTGTGATCTGAGCGGCGTTACTTCAGTCTTGGTTAAAATATGGATGGATCATTATCTGTAACTTGTCTAAATTGTCTATTCACTACTTTTGTTCAGTTCTTATATTTTTTAATTATTCATTATTTCAAATACTTATAAATTAATCTTGTTCATATTTGTGGAATTTGCTGGTTCATACAGTCTGTTTATAGTGTTTTCTCAGCCAATCAAATGTATCATTAATACCTATTGGATATTAATCTTTGAGACTTCCTTTTTTTATAGTTTTCACATGCACTCACAATAAAGATATACTACCAATAAAGATTGACACTTATGTGGCCAGCTTTCTGCGAATAGGAAATACAATTAATTTAGTAAATTTGTAAGATATTTGACCACCCTTAATTTCAGTCTGGTTAACATGATAGGTCTGCATTGAAGGTTACACCTTATACTTTTTGCTATTTTAGAGGGCTGTTTAGACATGATGATCCTTTAATGACATCAAAATTTAGATTTGAGATTTTCTTTGCAGGCACATTTTTCTAAACTGTTTTCAATTAGATGAAATGTTGGCATAAAAAAAGATAATTCATCAAATCGTCAAACCTAACGTAGTTAATCTGTTTCTTATATAAAAAAAGAGTTTATTTTGCTGACACTGCAATGCAGTTTTTAGTAATTTGGTTGATTGATAAGATGCATTTCACCAGATTTGCACATGTAATTCCTTTCCTTTGTCAAGTACCCATGTAGAATATGATAAAGCATACAGTAATTAAGGCTGTTTTTTCCAACCAGTTCATTATGAAATCATCCTTAACTACTCAACAATACAATATCACTCTAATCTAGACATTAGGTTTTGAAAATGAGGTGGCTTATTCCCATTTTGTTGAAACATTGAACACACACTAACGTCCAATTTTCTTTTCTTTTTTTTTTTTCAAACCATTGGCAAGAATAAGTAAACAAGGTAGATTTTTCATGACCAGGTCACAGAGTAATACTCATTGGCTTGTGAAAATATTTCTTCACTCTACCTGTCTATGTGTCTGGCACTACCGACTCCCTATTCTTATAGAAACCAAAGTCTTAGCTATACTTCCATTCCTTTTACCTCCCTAACAATGACTTCAGTCCACACCTGCCTCATAAAACATGTCATCTCCTCTGTTTGTCTGGGTGAAAGCCTGTGAGACTTGAATCAGATCTCCAGGGGGTGCTGGTGTGGTTGGGCTCAGACTCCTGCCTGGCTTGGCTCGCTCCTGGGTGCAGAACATTAGACTGGAGGCAGCAGTGTGGAAGATGACAGTTTCTGTCTGTCCACAGTTCCACTATTAGACCAATATCCTCAGGCTGGATTAAAGCTTGTACTCAACTAATAAATCCCCCACTCTCTGCAATCTCTTCTGCTCCTGCCAGTTCCCCACCTGGACAGTTTTAAGACTTTCCAAAAAGAATTCCATATTGCTTTTCATGTAATTATTTCTTTGTTTTTAGTTTTTTTCTTTTAAATTAGTACATGCATGAGTGTGTTTAAATTTCGGTTTTATTTAATCTTTCTTTGAATGTCTGTCTTTTTTATTTTACATAAATTTTCTCTAACCATATGTTATTTCCATCATAGTACAGACTGTAAAGGCTTTGCCAAGCAGGTATATGAGCTATGCATTTTGTGTTGCTACCCTTGTCTTAAGTCTAACATGTAGTCTCATAGTTTGGCCATCTGTTTCTTTTTAAGTCACTTATCTTCTCATCTGAATTTTCTCTAAAACGCTGTGGTTTTTTTTTTTTTTTTTTTTGAGTGACAACAAATGCAGCTTGTCTACATTTTTGTCTTTTTTTTTCAAATGTCTTTTAAACTGTCATCTCTGCGGAGGAAATGTTGAGAACAGAAATGAAAAGAGTTGATGAGCAGTGGCTCCAGAATCACTCAGTCATGACAGATGAAGTAAAGGAGTTGCTGTCCTTTTCAATTTGGTTAAAATGGCAGCTGCTCTGTAGGAAATGTCTTAGTCACTTGAGGGCGCTCTCTTCTGACTGGCCTAAGCCCAATAACAGCAAACCAGATTACACTGTTCAACATGTTAGTAATGGTGAGCCCGCAGCACTTGGCCGATGTGCCCTGTAATCTTAAGTGTATGGCGAGCGCTGTCCCATGACATCACACCATATCACATCATGCATTTTTAAAGCAAAATGACATGTTTAGTATAAAATGAATGTAAAGTCACTGTTGACACAAACTGATATACTAACTATAGACGTGACATGTTTTGGTATCTGCAGGCAGTCGGGAAACGGCGTTCACTTATGCCATCAGCGCAGCGGGGGTGGTGAACGCAGTGAGCCGTGCCTGCAGAGAGGGAGAGCTGTCCAGCTGTGGGTGTAGTCGCTCTGCTCGGCCCAAAGATCTTCCCCGAGACTGGCTGTGGGGCGGCTGCGGAGACAACCTAAACTACGGCTACAGGTTTTCCAGAGAGTTTGTGGACGCGCGTGAGAGGGAGAAGAGCTACCCAAAGGGCTCGCATGAGAGCGCCCGCCTACAGATGAACCTCCACAATAACGAGGCCGGAAGGAGTGTAAGACATCCAAACTCCACACACAGATATATGCACGCATACTGACCTTTTACAATCTCGTTCCATGAGAAACGAGGCAAAAGTTGCCTACTCTATACTGACCAACCAATAGAACAAAAGCGGGAGATTTGTGGAGGTAGATTTCTCCAGGTCAGTCAGATGGGTCTCCGTTGATCATTTGTATAACAGCTCCGTCTGCTCAATTCTTCTGCTCCTTTGATCTGTACAGAGATGGAGTCATTGGAGGGAGCTCTGGGGTTTTTCCTTTCCAAACATCTTGAATTCACCTCAAAGGGAACGTAATGCCAGATATCTGTTGCCAGGCTGCACTCTTTCAAGTAGAACAAATGAGTGGACAATGCTTTATTCCATGCACCATTGGAGACACGTACAGGATCACTTTGTCCTCTTTAGGAAAGTGATTCCTTATGGTCGAATGAGCAACATATTATACAAATATTTATACAGACAAGGCAGGTTCAACATATGAACCATGTGCAGCTTGGGCATGCTATTTTTCTGCACATTTTTATTTAGTCAACTCATCTGTTTATTAAAACGTATTCATTTTTCCTCCTTTCCTCTTGTCTTCAAGACGGTGTTCGATCTTGCCCATGTGTCCTGCAAGTGCCACGGTGTGTCAGGCTCGTGCAGCCTAAAGACTTGCTGGCTGCAACTGGCTGACTTCCGCAAGGTGGGGGATACGCTGAAGGAGAAGTATGACAGTGCCGTGGCCATGAAACTCAACTCCCGCGGAAAGTTTGTACAGATGCATAACAAGTTCAACCCTCCCACGACCCTCGATCTGGTGTACATCGACTCCAGCCCAGACTACTGCTTGGAGAACCCAGGCACGGGCTCTCTTGGCACTGTGGGGCGCCTCTGCAACAAGACATCAGAGGGCATGGATGGCTGCGAGCTGATGTGCTGCGGCAGAGGCTATGACCAGTACAAGGCTCAGATTGTCGAGCGCTGTCACTGCAAGTTCCACTGGTGCTGCTATGTCAAATGCAAGCGTTGCACCAAAACTGTAGACCAGTTTGTCTGCAAGTGAGACGAGAAGTGTTGGCTTGCAGGTGATGGGTGTACATTTCTGTGTGTTCACGCGCAGTGGAGCAAATGAGTAGAGCACAGAGAGAGAATGGAAGAAAGAAACTATATAAATTATATTTATAGAGTTAAACAATTATGTCATTGCAGAAAGACACTTTTAAAAAAAAGAAAAAGAAAAAAAAAAAGAAACGTATGTCTTGAGAAACTGAGAGTATTGTGAAATATTTATTTGGAGATTGTTTTTATTCTAGCCAAGTCATCACCAGCCAATTTTTTTAAGACCTCTCAAGTGCCTGAAAACAGCCTGGAATCTACCCCAGTATGCTTCCGAAAAAACGAAAACAGAAAACAAAGTATTTTTCTTTAATCAAATGGGTTGAAGTGATGCAAGATTATGTAGTTTTCCCCATTCTCTAAGGTCATTTCTGGCTCTGAGGTTTTAATTTTTTTTTTTACTGAGAATGACTGCTTCGAGGGAAGAATGCATGTGTTATGGGTGGTACTTTACGGGGCAGTCCCAAACCAGTCTTCATATCCCCTCACCACATGTACAGTAAAGGATCCTGCAATACAACTGATACACCCTTAGAGGACTCGGCCAATTCTCATGCTGTCCCAGAAGCCTTAATGTTCCCCAGGTGCTGCAAAAAGCCTTCAACCATTATGCACTTTGATACAGAGGCTTTTACCTGTCTGTATGTCTGTTCAGCTGTTATCAATATATCCATATTATAGTCTACATTGTTTTCCATATTAATGCAGATTATCCATTTAACATTACAGTATGTATCATGGTTCGACTATATATGGGCAATGCTATGGTTAAAGTGGTGAATATTCAGTGCTCTGTGTATATAGTATTTCTATCCAGTCAATCAATAAACTGTATTTATTTTCTTTTAACCAAATTGTATTTTAAGTTTTTAAAAAAGGCACAAAAAAAAACTCCCCAAAGTCGATAATCAGTTTGGACATCCACAACTTTTAGGTTCAATTTTCAAAATTTGGGTTCACTGATAAGGCTCTTCACTGTTTTTGGAAAAAGGGAAATGCACCTTATTGTTTGGAAACAAAAACATTCTTGTCACCGATGTTAAGCTTTACTTTAACACACTTTTGGATCACATATTTTGATTTTGCCACAGGTTTCAAGTACTGCTCAGTTATCTGCCCTTTATCCCTGGGATGATTCTCAACACACAATCCGTTTCCACCAATCTGACCATGTATATTTATAAGCTTCTCTATGAATTTGAGGTTTGTTAAACAAGTGTTATCGTTGATATTTTTGTTACTTTTTACAAAATGGGTCAATGCTCTTCTCTATTTCAATAAATGTCAAATGTAAAACCCACAGAGACCTATTTACTCAAAGTATTTCTTTAAGTCGCCTGTGACCTTCAGTTATTTGTAGTCTTTTAATAAATATTTTCTCTCTGGAAGTGAATTACTAAATAAGTTAATCTCCTAAAATGTGTGTCTTTAGCTCAGATTTAAACAGACCACAAAGTTTCCTTGTTTTGTTTTTTTTTTTCTGGCAGACAGTTTTCATATCAGACAGACAGACCCACATAGCTGCTGTTTTAGATGTATATCACACAAAGGCAAAAAGATTTTTCCTTGAGAACGTTTGATGATAGACTGAGTATCAGGTCTCTAAGGGATGGTTGAGGTTGAATTATAATTGCCTCTCAACAATCCTGTGACAGTGGACTGGTTAATGGGATGATTAATCATACTGTGTCAGGAGAATGAGGAGTGGGGGAAAAATAAATTGAGAATTTGGGAAGTCTGGAAAAACGACTGAACCTTGTCAGATTCGGCTGGTGTTTGAGAGGAAACGCAGAAAGCAGGAGAAAATATTGTGTAATGAGAAATCAATGATTACATGAGGGGCTGAGAGAGAAGTAACAAGGCAAAGGACTGAGGGAAGAGAGGGCCGGAGGGAGAGGAGGCAAGTGCTTCAAGGAAAGAAGAGCTGAAGGACTACCGTTACAGTGTAAACGCTCCTGACATTGACTAATATTTACACTTGTAAAATGATACCAATTTCTGAAGTGACCCTGAATGTGACCCTGCCAGTTAGCCCCATATGCACGGCCATACAGTTGCATGGGCACCCCTTTGCATAAACCTCGCAATATCATGACAAGTACGGTATTTACATTTCTGATTGGTGTCAAACAGCCAGTAAAGGAAAGCAAAAAAGATGCAAGGTTAGCATATGGGGGGAGAGACCAATGTTTTAAAAGAAGACTCGGAGGAGATCCAGCCCAGCAAGAGGTTTTACATATTTGAACCTTCTGTCAACAGCTAGGTTTATAGGAATATGAACTCACTGCTCCACTTTGGAATTCTCTTTTACATGGAGGTTGGGTCATGCTTGTCAAGGCTTCTTCAGAATGACTGACTTCCATACTTCATACAAGTCCGACTTTTCTAGCTGTATTATAAACAAAAATCCAGGTGCACGTCTGGTTTATTCAGCAGGATAAGGAAACCTGAAACTCACAGGTGCACAGGTATGACAACTGACTCACTCGGAGGAAGAGGCATGGATACTTGCAAACTTTTAAACAAAATCCTTAGCCTCTGATCTTGGGAGTCCTTCCTCAGCATGCCCCATTTTCTCTAAGTTTGACAGCTTATGTGGGTGACTGTAAATATTTATACATCTGTCTTACAACGGCCTTTTTTGGACTGTGGTCCACAGTTAAAAGGTGTGGTTTTGGTTTTGCACACACAGCTAAGCAGTGATTGTGAAAGCACTTTCTAGGCTCAAATCCCTCACAGTGGTGCTCAATAGTTTGTGGAAACATTTCTGACATTATGGTATAAATGTGACCTAAAATATCCACTTAGTCAGAAATATAGACAAAGAGAAGCCTGAAATTTGGAAAAATGTTTGGTTACTTAATTAGAAAAGGCCGCAATCCCATAAGTCTGAGCAGTAAGTATTAAATATCATAGTAAAATTAGAGAGTTGATGTCAATCCATCAGATCATCATTTAATCATCAAAAAGGCAGAGTTGCTTGTGGACAGTCAGTTGAGGGAATTCTGCTGAGCAGGAATGACCTCCTGACTACAGAGATCCTCATCAACAAATGTGTTGCTCTGAGATTGAATAATTTTGTCCTTTGGATAAAAGAGAACCCCCTATTCCAGCATGGGAAGTTTATTCCATCTCTAAAACGTAGTGGCAATGGTATTAGAATCCCAGGTGGCTTTGTTGCATGAGGGGCAACCTGGCTTACTATTATTGATTGATGGATCATGACTTACTGGCATGATTTAAACCAACATGTCAGAACATCTGTTGGTGGAATATATCTCAAGAGAAATGCAACAAAACAGAGTGGCCCTATGCTCAGATGCTGCTCCGTCGTATACTGTAATTATTACAGGAAAATAAAGTGCGTGTCTGGAATGGTCAAGTTAAAGGGCTGGCTTCAATCTAACAGAAATACTGTCAAATGTAAGGGAAACATTCTCCAACATCCCAGGATGGAAATTGTTTTATATGCAGGAATGAGCTGAAGTACCTCTAGAATGATATACAAGAATGATAAGCTGCTACTGAAAAATGTAGTTTTAGACTCCCTCTTCTCTTAGAGAAGTTCACAAAATGAAACAGGATCACAGGTTCACAGACTGTTGTGACTTACAGACATGTTGCATTAGTTTCTCAAACAAAAAAATAGTAAAAATCCTATCGAGAATATCTGTATGCTCTTTATCACGCCATTAGGTATAGAACATTCTTCAGTGTTTAGAACCTTAGATCACACCAATATTTAGATTGTGTAAACTTTGTAAAAGCCTGTCCAAGTTTATTTCATGTATAGTTTATCTTATGTACTTCAGTTGTTTTGTTTCATTACTTTAGTTCTTCTTCTCAGGGTCAGAAGTCCATCAGGCTGAGAAAAATAAGTCCAAACGTTAACATGTAAATCTGTTATGCAGAAATAAAACAAGCATCTATGGGGCTTGAAACATTTGGTTGCAGCTGAGTGAATTTCTGTTTTAGCATTCATGCGTAGATGAAAATGGAGGTGAAGATGGCTCGGCAGGATACAAACAGGGTTTTCAGCTTATGAAGTGGTTTTACCCCATCCTTCTTTCACCTCATTAAAATTCCTGAAAGAAAATTCCTGGTACTTTCGGACCAATATGTGAAGAGTTGTTTTTACCTAAAATAAAGCATCTGGTTGATATAATGCAAACTCTGCTGAAGCCAGATTTGCTGACCACAGGTCTGACTCCAAACTGGCCAATTCCTTTCACTTTCTTCCGGTACTGGAAGGCCTTAACTAATGTTCCTCAACAGTGCAATATACCAGGCTACACATATTGATGTAATACATACATACCACATTTTACCATCTGTGAAACAAAACCTCAGAATGAACTCTGGTCTATCCATCTCTTTTTTTACCATGCCACAGCATGGCCAGATGAATTCTGTGGTAGGTTATATATGAGTAGTTTTATCCTCATGTATGCCACTACATGACATTATGACTTAAATAAAACTGTCATTGCAAAAAACACCTACTGTGCAACTACTTCAGGAGGAAATAACAGACAGGGGGACTTACAGAAACAAATCTGAGGACTCTAAAGCGTTCAAAACGTCCTGTCAGCGCAGAAATCTGGCAAAGCTCATCACAGCAAGCCGAAGCAGAGCTTGTTCCATTTCCCGACTTCTGCAGTTGAACAACAAGTGGGGAAAAATTAGGTTGGTCCACAGAGTGGCGTATAGAGCTATTTAGGATTGTGGTTGCGCCTCAGAGAAAGAAGGAAGGGCCCCACATTGTGACGTCACAAACAGTCTGGACTGGATGAGAGAGACCGGCCGGTGCCACAGAGTCACCGGTTCCCCCTTTTATGATTGCCAGTTCTATCCCAGAGTACCCCCCCCTGAAACCACTTGTGCCACAAGTTATTTCAATGGCTCAAAGCTAAGGCAGAAATAAGGAAGGTTATACATAGGGGTCACAATTTCTAAATGTGCATGACTGAGGTTTTCTTTTTTTTTTTTGGTGTGTGTATACAGGATGAAGATTAAAATGTGGGAAGGATGACTTCCAGATGAATCATTACAAGTTCAAAAAATCGTTGCTCTCATTTTCACCAGAGGTGACTTTGTTTTGGTTGAACTCAACATCTTGGCTGCTCAACTACAAGAGCTCATGCTACATAGCGCAGTTACAAAGCATAAAAGCAGACACAAGTAATTAAAGCTGAAACCATAACCATCTAGGAGCAGAGCAGCATGTTGTACCACAGCCAAACTTTATTGTTCACAGATATTGCTCACGAATTTACCTTCATATGACAATAAAACGTCATACAAAATAAGCAATTTAAGTCTGTTTTATTTCACTAAAAGTGCACGGTTAATTTTACAGAAACCTCTTGAGAGAGGTGCATGGTCAGTGCTGAATATTCT